TAAATCAAAGATAAATATAAAATATAATTACTATATTTAATATCATGATCTCTAATATAAACGAATGGATCAAAATCGATATCACAAAAAAATTGAACACCAGGTTCAACACGCCAATAATAATCATATTTATCTAACAATTCGTGTCGGAAAAAAAATCCGGATTCAAATCTAAAAAAAAAAAAAAAAAAAAAACATATTACACATTAATTTTTATTGAAAAAAAAGATTGTAATTGGATAGAAAAAGCTATTATTTGAAATTTCTCAATGAATACAATTTCTTACCTGCACATATGACGATAAGGTAAGCTACCACCGTATAAAACTCCTTCTTTCGACATTCTATCCATATTTTTATTAACAGTTTCCATATCTATATAATCTGGAACGCTCCAATATTCTTTCGGAATTACACCTATGAATTATATAAAATTAATTTTGATAATCCCACAAGTAAATAAAATTATTGGTACACTTGCCATATTCAGTTTTTGCATTAGTTAAGGAACTTGTATACTTTATGAATTCTTCTGTAAATGGAACATCGTTCAAAAACACATATGGATAATTATATTTATGATTAAATCGGTCTTCAAGTTGTCTCATTGACCATCTAAAGTTATGTAAGTCAGTATTTCGAATCAAAACTACAAAACATGCGTTCGCCTTGGCCGTTTTTTCAGTTCTATTAATATTCAACTCATCGTAACTTCCAATAACTTTACTTTGAAAATCTGTATCAAATTCTGAAAGTTCTGAGGATACTCGTGATTTTGAAAAACTTGATTTTGGACGATTTGTTACTAATGCCCAATGAAAAAAGAATAACAATACAAAGGTCAATGCCAAGTATTTCAAATTTGCTCGTTTAAGCATGATAAAAAAGTGTATTTTTCCCTCCAGAAAAAAATCAACAAATTACAATAATACATTTCCTGATTTGGATCACTTTACTCGGATAATTACTTGATTGTTGCTAACCGTTTGCATCATTCCGGAATAAAACGCACATCTTGTAATACTGATATATTTCCCCTGCATTTTATACTAATGGGGGTTTCAAAGTAAAATTAAATAGGATTTTTGACTTATCGTTATAAATCGGAAAAATAAAACTCCTAATATAAAAAAATAACGATAAAGGTTAAAATATGATTAGGGCAGTGTTGTCATGGGACACGGACGCGGACAACGGACAGTCCGGGACGGGACGTCCAGGACATGTCCGCCAAATTTTTTCGTCCCGGACAATTAAAATTATAATAAGAACAGCCGTGTTAGCCCCTCAGGGGATGTTCTATAGAATAGGTGGGCAAACTCCGCTGAATATATTAAAAATTAATGATTACTAATCATTAGCGAAGCTTATTTCTTATATTGCTCACCTATTCTATAAAACATTCTAAATTTTAATCAATTCTATTTAATATGCTCTTGATTTTTGATACAACTCCAACTTATTTACTACTGAGATTTTTGGATTAACTAGTTATGTAAAATCTATTTATATTTAAAAGACAACAATTTTTTCTTATAATTATATCTAATTCTATTATCTTTGATTATATTTTTATTTTAAAAAACTTTGAACTATTTTAATCTAATAGTTTATTAATAAGAATAAAATATTTCTTTATCTTTTCAAACATATTTATATTGTATATAAATAATTTAACCTTATTGAATTTTCTTTTATAAATTTTAATTTCAAAATTAAAATATAATATTGTAAATTTTTTTATCTTTATATGTTTTAATAATAGATAAATATATTTTATTATATGCACTAATTTGTATTTTTGTACTAAAATATATATAATTTAATATTTTTTTAATAATAAATAATTTTTAATATATACTAATTTGTTTAGATTTTATACTAACAACTTATACTTATTATAATAAATTTAAACTAATTTAAATATATGCAGTACTTATTTATATTTATTTCTTTAGTTTATACTAAACTTATAAATTCTAATAATATCTAATAACTTAATATTTATTGAACTAGTAACTTTAACAATTAATATTTTTTCTTATATACTTTCTTCTATATTTAAATATTACTATTTATATATCTTATTAATATTAAAAACAATTACTATTAACTTTCATATTAATTTTAAAATTTCTAATCAAATTAATTACTTCTTTTTAATAAATATACTATTTCAAGAGTTTATTTATAGTTAATTTGTATCTTGTTTTATAATATCTTTATATATTTATAATATTAAAACAATACTTAAAAATATAACAAAAATCTATTATAGATTAATTTAACTAAATTAAATCTATATCTAACAATAGAAAATTTTAAATTTCTCAATACAATAGATAGCAATTTTTTTATATTTTTTTTATAATAAAAAACTTTAATTTTTATATAACAATTCTAATACTTAGCTATAAAAAATTTTAAAATAAAATTTCTTGCTAATAAACTTTTAAATATTCTTATTTTTACTAGTATAAGTTTTTATTTTATAATGAATACTTTTGTTTATACTATTTAATAAGTTCTAAAATAATATTTTATCTATTAATATATATATATAACTATTTCTTATTAGACTCTATTCTTTATATTTTAAGAAATAATTATAAATAACTAATTCAAATATTTCTAATTTTATTAGAAACTTTAAGAATATTTTATTATCTAACAAATTTTTTTAGAATTTATTTTTAAAAAATTCTTATACTACTTAAAACTTATACTGATAAGCAAAAATATATT